AGTAGACTTTAAATCAGTTGAAATTTGAGCAATTAAACAAAATAAGTCATAATGCTTTATTCGGATGTATAACTACTGGCTACAATGAAAAATACAAGACCGTAATGACGATAAGACAAATGTAGTTGTGATGCCATGTCTCGTAATTTCCTGTCAGTCACTGGACTGAACTGAGCAACCACTGTTGTATTCCACTGCCTTATCATCAATATCAACATGAAACAAGACATTATTGCGTAACGGTTTAAGATGCCATATCTCATATCAGCACATCAAGTAACAAAGCAGTAAGATGAAAGACGAAGAAAGAAAGAAAAATCGGTAAAAAGCAGTACAAAGCAGCGAAATTCAGTTTAGTGGTTAACATGAAGTGTGGATACATCTGAGCCATGGAGGTCAATCCTGAGCCATATCATATGCAGTCTTCAACCAATGATTCCTGTTGCCACATATACTCCAACAGGTTAGTCTGCATCTACGTACGTGGTTCAGACCAACAATCAAGGACTTTGTGCATTGATACCATGTTTTAGACTGCCAGCCACTATCCATCATTACTGTCAAATGTACTATTAGCTTAGGAAAAAGCTAGCGCTCGTTTAGTCATCATTTAAACAAGATAATATCTCGGAAAACATGAATAAAGACTAAAAGTTGTTCACAGGTTAGAACCTATTCAGATAATGAACGTAAATGAATTGGGACTACAAAAATATTAATGTCCTTTTATATATATATAAATATAATGTATTGTAGAAAAGGTCCCAAAACGTTTCATAAATATAAGCGAATACAAATAATAACACCATGGTAATATGCTAGTCTCGAGACCTGGAGGTATTATGTTCGAGTGAGTACTGCCGAGGAGTCCCTCACTGGGACGAAACGACTGCACAGTTTTTTCAATAATGAAGCCTTATGTTCCACTAGGAACCCAAAGGACAAATAATGATATAATAATACTAACACTAGTGACGCCGATTTTCCTTCCTCTTTTTACAACTCAGCGAATCTAAGCATTCTGTATATTTGTTTGGTCAAAAAACTAGGTAAGGTTACTTAATAAGCTCAAAAAAACCACGCAATAAAAGTTTTTCATTCTTCAAATTGCCCTTCATTTAAGAGGGAATGACAAAAAAAGGAATATAGCTTGTGAATACTGAGATTTTCAACGGATTTTAATGCCATTTGGAGGTTTATGGGGATTTATGTGCTGATTTCAAGTTGGCATCCATCACGAACTGACATCACTTGCAGAACCACTGAAAATCTAGAGGCACTGGACAGCTGTTTCGTCCTAGCATGGATCTTCTCGGCAGTGCACACTCATGACCTCACCAAGGTCGAACCCAGGACTTTCAGATTGCGTGGTGACCACGCAACCATTAACCCAACGGGTTGAAATCCAAGGGTTCACATCCTCCTACTTCTGCCAGTCTCCGATATAGCACGATCTTCACTTAGTGCTATTGCTGAATAACTGTCCTTACTTTCGACTTGCTTTGCCCCACTGGTTACTAGGCTTTACAATACAGTTTATGTAAGTCAATGCTAGTCTCGAAATCATTGAATACCATAGACTGCTGGATGTTTTTTCCCCAAACTACTACAATATACCTCAGTAGTAAACATTTATAATTTCTTCATAGATGAAAAAGACCAACCAAGGGAATGGTTAACAAGCTGATTCTTGAACAACAGAATGTATTTCAATCAATAAATTTTAAAGCATCATTCGAAGTTATTCATTTACCGAAGTGATTCATCTTACTACTACGAGACTTAGCATCATCATCAAGGTCAACATAAGACCAGGAATTACTGCGTAACGGTTCAAGTTGCCACACCTCATATCAGCACGTCGAGTAACAAGGCAATAAAATGGAAGGTGAAGAAAAAAGAAAAATCGGTCAAAAATAGTAAAAGAGAGGAAGGAGGAATGAGAAAACGGTGTGATCAACTATAGCAGTTACGGTGAGGACAATGTGTGTATACATCTGCACCACTGACATCGATTCTGAGCCACATCACCTATAGTCTCCAACCACTAGTTTCTCTTGTCCCACGAAACCAAACCGGAAGGTCTGCATCGCCCTACATGGGTCAAACGAACAATCAAGAACTTCATGCATGAATGCCATGTTTCAGTCCGGCCGTCGCAAGCCTTTTCCAAGCCTTAACCTATTTCGGCCGACATTGTGGGAGGAGGCAGACGGTGGCTACGCATACGTAACACATGTCCCATCCATCTCAATCGTAACTGCACAAACTGTCTACGGGACCGTTACGAATTAATCCCATGTATAAAAACTTTGCACACAAGTAAAACTTAAGAAGAATTATCCGTCAGATATCTCCATGCCATTTATGAAGCAAAGTCTAACAGGACAAAATATTCGTGTAGTTTGCCACGTAGTTAAACATAAAGCCGGAGGGAATTGCTCAGCCCATGTTGACAGATGGACCTGTATCCGGATGTCTCCATGATGCCTGGATATTCATTATACTGTAGCCTACTTGGCGGCTAGCAATAAACAACAACTGATACGCACTGCATAAGTGATGGTTCTTGTGTCCACTGGCCTGGTGAATAACACTCCAGCGTTTGAAGCGATGGATACTGAATTCGAGTCCGAGTGTGAGCGTCACTCACTGGAATGCAGGCCCGTCCAACTGATGACTCCCAAATGAAACAAAATGCGTGTTTGGCTTTCAATGCTAGCTACCAATTAGCCTATAATAAACATATTAATAGTTTCGAGGGATTGGTTAACTTAAACATAGGTTGGCATTATTCGATGGTGATTTCAGTTAACAAAGTATTATAAGCTGAGAAGCGATAATTTATCATCTCAATTTTGGCTGTCAATTTTCCCCAGGTTTATGCCTAAGATGAAAGGCTTTAGAGACAGTTTACGACGACAACATTATCCAGTTGGAGTCAATTAGGATGGACAAGGCCAGAAGAATAAACTACCTAAGTTGACATTACCGGACAAAGGGGAAAAATCCCCATTTGGACGTCACCTATATTAAGAACCTCAAGTGTTATACAGTAATTAAAAGATTATCCTGGCTCGAATTAGGCTAATTTCGGAAAAGTTTATATACCAGATACATAGTATCAGTAATAATACAAAACCTGACTGATTTACAAAATTAGAATATAGCCTATTACTAATGGCTTCAGTTTATCGTCAAGCAATTAAAAAAGATGCGGTAAGTTTACAACCTCAAAATCGATGGACTTAAGACTTCAGTGCACTTAGAATTCGAACACATCTGATTGACCGAATGGGGAAAATACGTGCATTCAGGATTTTGTTTACAGTTACACAATATCCAAACATAAGCACAGGTGAGCAGTGATTCATATTTATGGAGTACTTTTTCAGGAGGTGGATGCAATTCTACGACTAAAATTGTGAGTCGGAAGAAGCAGAATATTTATGAATAAAATAATTGAAGTGAATGCTAACCTTTTAAAATGAACTTCTCAATCATACTTAAAGCGATTTAGAATTCAGTTGGCTGTTTTACTAATTTGGAGATGAGATCAATGGTGTGTCCGGTAAAATTATATCATGTGTTTACGGCCCTGTGATACCCACCAGAAACACCTTTGAAAGTCAGTCAATATCAACGTGAGACATGTATTACTGGGTAACCACTCAAGTACACTCAGTACATCAAAGTATACGGCAGCATGATGAAAAATAGAAAAAAAAGAGAACGTAGTCAAAAGTAGTAGAAGGTAATAAGAAGAGAGAGAGAGGAAGTAAGATAATAACGAAATTCAGTATAAAGATTAAGATAAAGATGATGTGTGAATGCATCTGAACCACCAAGATCAACTCTGAAACACACTACCTAGAGTCAACAACCCAGAATCCACATTTATCTACACGGCTCACACCAATTCTCAGAAACTTAAGAGACTGATGCTGTGTTTTAGCCTCCATTGAACTTATACCCATGTAAATCTAATCCACTTCATATTATGCGATGGAGTAGATGGTGACTAGACATCTGTATCACAACCCAGCCAATTTAGTCGATGAATATTTGGACATAACAGGTTAGTGGTTGAAAGTTATTTGCCTATAAAAACAGTTTGCATTGACGTTTTCCTCTGTGAACAGTTCATAGTGTTACATCACTGTCTACGAAGGACTGAGGAAGTAGCTGGTATCACCCCTACACAAGACATGACATCTAAAACATGAAACTTTTCTTAGTCAATGAGTTATATGCCTACCTAACTGAAACATAATTTGATGTGGTGCAACACTACGTCAGTTCAAATAACTTAAACTGTGTTTGGCTGTAAAGTAGTCATCACAGACCAACATTAGTGAGAGAACTGTTGAAAATGAGAGGGCACTAATCAATTGTTTTATCCTACTTTAGTACACCTTAGAAACATACATACATGTTCGATCAAACCCAGGATAGCAAATTTTGTGGCACGTACGTCACCTTTCAACCACTCCACTGGAATCGAATGGTTTGTTTTTTAGTTTAGAGGTTTGTGGGGATTGTATGGCTTTCAGGTGATATCCACCACGGACCTACATTAGTTGCAGAACCGCTGAAAAATTGGAGGCAGCGAAGGCTGCTTCATCCTAGTATGGGACTCCTCATTAGTGTGTACACATGATTCCCCTTCAAGGATGGAACCTAGGACCTTTAGGTTTCGCAGCCAGCAAGATACCATTGAGCCACTAGGTTATTTCTTTGTCAAGTTCCTCTTTGTTGTTCTTTGGTGAACAACAACTGGTTGATCGCAGAGACCAGACCGGATGTGATAGGATCTGAAAGCTTGTTCGTCTGATTTATTGACAAGCACTTAAGTTAGTAAGAATGTCACAAAACTGACAGAAACAACATACTGATATTATCATGATTATGTTTTCTATTAGTTTACAGTGAAATAAATAGATGAGCAATAAAAGTGCGAAATAGTTAAAATTTCTGATAAATTTCTCACTAAGACTTACCTTCACATGTACCCATTGTGTAATGAGTTCAGGAATATTTAAAAGTACACTTAATAGTCGTGTGACCATTTCTTCAGAATTCATCAGTTCATTTCTAAATTTCGAGAAAAAATTAGTAGTTTTTCATCAAGTGAGAAGGTTTATTCAATATCATGCTAAATGCAAGTGAAATTTCTAAAAAGCGAAGATGAAATGGACAAGTTGATATGGATTTTAGAGACCATATGTAACGCAGGCAGCCAGTTATCCTACCACCTGAGTTCTTCAACACCAATAGCTTAGTTGAAATTTTGTAAAGATTCATAAATGAATTTTTCACGCATGATCTGTTGTTAAAAATTGCTGATGACGGCGGTAATTTATATACGTTTACACCGCGGATATTATTTTACTACTGTACCTGAATGGAACCACTAAAATTCAGGATTTAGTTATCCATTGTAATTCTACGTCTTTTCGCCTTGAGTTCTTCTTATAATTTCGAGCCACAGCTCCACTCTGGACAGATTTAGTGTTATATGACGTACGACGTGCGGTTAAGATTCTAGACAGATGACTTGCAACAGTCGAAAATGACTTTTTAATTTTCCCTTCTACGCAAATTATTAATGATGACGTAGACATTTTCTCGAAGTCACGAGAACCTAATACACACAAATAAAAAACAATTGTCATTAGTTGTGATTATCCTAAAAAGGTGCCTATATTATTATGATGTTTCAAGAGTAGATTGAAGCATGGAGCCAGAATGCCACTGACGAATGTAATCTTCCAGAAGCTGAAAGCTATTTCGTTTATGTCAATTTACAAGAATATAGAAAATAATACTGTAAAAAGAAAGGTTAACTGTTTTGAATGACATGATAGCTTTTCTCATAACACACAACTGATTCAATTTCATTGTTGAAAGCTATGTTAAAACTTATTCTTTTAAGCTTCATACATCAGTATGGAAGAAAAGTTCTCTGTCAGTGAGACAGGTGAAATGTATTATGAAAAAAAGAAATCCACGCAGAGACCACGTTGAAGCTTGTAAACCAGACAGTGAGCCACATCATCGTATTAGGGGTTAACGACGACACTTAGCTACCAGACCTCGGTGTGCGCAGCGGGTTTGAACCTTTCACAGTATATGTGTGGTCTCAAAAATTCTGGTCACATTTGTTGCTTCTGTTTAATCTACAGACCAATGAAAACCTTCCCTACATAGACAAGTTATAATCGAGTGTCAAAAAATGCCTAAGTATCAGACTAATGAGTGTAATGACTTCCGCAAGATTTTTGCTGATAATCTGAAACAGCTACTACAGTTGTGTTCTACAAAATTCGTAATTTATAAAAAAATTAGTGGCTGAAAATTGGAAACTCGCACTGAATAAAGCGACACTTACAGTGCTTTCGAATCTTCTTCACTGGTATTCAGCTGGTTTTTATCTAAAATAATCAATTATGTAATTCCATGAGCTTTTTGGAAAATGTACTTTATGACAATCAGCATTACTTCACTGCAATAAACCTTATTTACCCATAACTAGATTTACTGAAAGTTGACTTGAACTCAAATTTTTTAAAAATGCAATTAAACCCGCTGGGGGGTTTGTGTACTAGACTATGAGCCATACTCAATGTGCAAGGTTTACGATAGTACTTAGTAGTCAAAAATGAAGCAAGTTACTCATAGAAAGAAACTCCGGTTTTCAATTCAGTGAGTACCATTTCTGCCTATCCATTCAGGGATACCATGTACCATGTTTGTGTTTTAATAATAATAATAATAATAAATAATGAAGTAAAACTGTCTTACGCGTTTTAGCGTATAGTGGGATGAACCACATACTAATGTTATTGGTTTGTATTGTGTACTTTCACTATTTAATACTAACATAGAAACTGCACATTTGAATGACAATTGAATTACGTGCTTGCTTGCACCTTTAAGTTCATTTTACTCTCAATAAAATTTCACATACGTTCGTTTTGATCTCTTGGTTGTCTTATTGACGAGTGGTGGCTTAACAATATTGTGAACACTAAGTATATACGGAAACATATTGGACTTTCATAAACACAATGAAGTCAGATTAAGGCCTGCTACACTATATACGATATGCCAGGAATGACGCTTTTATTAAAAACTTTGTTCTTTTTTGAATATCGCATACTTTGAGCTTACATTGAGATATGCGATTACTTTTTGAGCAATCGAGTACTTATCCACTGGTATTACTTTCAGTGCTAGAAGTCTAGTTGTCGGTAGTCAGTACCAGTCAAATTGATTTTCAGCAACCGCATGGAACGTGTTAAAAATATCATATATTTCCAGACCATTTTTGCTGAGTGATCTAATAGTCGATAGAGTCACTTATATTTCCAAGATATGATGAATTAATTAGTTAACTTTGCGCTAATGCTGAAAAGGGGATTTGCTGGCTCGTTGTTTTCCGTTTTATGAGCTAACTTGAAAAACAAACAGTAAGACTTCATAGTTAACTCATTGATCCTCAGGCTCCGTCTTATTTTGAAAAGTCGTTTGAAAACCGACATGAGTACTTGCGACCGCAGCTCTCAAGACTGTAGAGGCGTATTCATTTCTTACTCCCATATGCTGAAAGAAACTCTCCATTATCTCAATTGTGATAAGAATTATCACAGTTTTCAGAGCCAATATGCGAGAAAGTTAGCAAATAACCAACTCGCATGTGGTTGCTTGTTTCATTGACGACAGAATCCCTTAGTCTCATCCGTTAGAGTTATCGGTGGTGGTGTATACGCACTGTTTTGGTCAGTAATACTACAAAATGTCAAGCAAGAACTAAAAGACAGATTGCATCATACTCCATAATCAAACATGCAGTAATCCTACTACTTGCAAGTCAAATGAAAAACCCACAAAATTTCTACATATGACAACATGGAGTTGGTATTGTTGGTGTTTCTTCAACTACGGTCAGTGAAACTGTCTGCCACTAATTGCAGGCAAGTTACGGTATCACTTGAGAAAAGCTGAAGTCTGACAAACAGAACTTAATGGCTTAGCTGGGGTGCATACGGAAAGCAGTAGCACATATGACTAGGAAAATGATCCCACAAAATACAAAGAAAATCTATTACATTAAACTATTTTTACTGTAAAATGACTGCACTCGCAGTCACAGGCTGTAAATCCCATCAACTTAGGGCATCAATACCAAATCTTTACTGTTTGTTCACCAATCATAGGTAATTTTTATTGTTTCAGGTGTTATTTTCCTGACTTCTTTGAGAGGTTTTTTGAAAATGCTAGGGATTTAAAAACTGGAGACTAACTACCATGTTTTTCGCAGGTCCTTCGGTGCTTTCTAAGAATTCCAGATGCATAAACGAAATACTATATGAAATTAAAAACATTAACACGCAGCCTATTTCTGCTATTACAAATCTTGACAAAAATATTCACCAGACAAATACGATGGAAACCTAGATCAACATGAAAAGCCATATCTCTCCAAATAATTATGAAAGAATTCCAAATTTATAAGTGAACACCTCAGAGATAAAAAAATACCTGGGAATTTTCTACTTTGGAAACATGCATTTCATATATTTTTGTATGAATAAATAACACAAAGTTAGGTAAATTTAAGCCAAGATCGTTTTAATGACTCATTTTCATGACCCTATTAGTTAACTATTTGACTGGACACTACACAAACTATTTGGCATGCGGAAAACACAAATAAATACAAAGAATAGCAACAGGATGAGTATGTTGCATTATCCAAGTAAAAAAAGTAATTAGCTAATGGACTCACTCGCTATAATAAAATCGTTGACTAACTTGACATCAGCGCAATCCTGAGGACTGCTTAGTTGTATACGCTTCAGTTGAAACTGTTCACATAAATGGAAAGCTATCAGTTGCCTGATCATATGAATATTAAATTATAAGGACTACTTCGAGGTTTGTAGTGAAGAACATTAGGATGAGGAGGATAAAATATGGGAACAAGTGATCGTTCGCCATTGTTCTACAATAAGTTTTTGCTTTAGTGTTTTTACCTCAGTTATGATGAAAAACTTCTCATCCTCAGGTATGTTTAAGCGACCGCAAACATAACTCAGGTCATTAGTGTCGTGTAAGAGCACCTTAAAAATAAAAATACCCAAAACGTATGACCATACTTTATGACCACAGTCAAGAACACTCCCACTAGGCAGGCGTATAAATTTGGGCGATAAAGGATTCGACGTCCTTTTAACAATAGCCTTCATCGTGTGAATACTTTCATAACCAGCACGTAGATTGAGAACCTAGACGCAAGGTAAAACTGAAGCACAATAACAAAATGAGCTTACCACAAAAATAATACAATAAGGAGTTTGAATTGAATCTGAAGAATTTTTTCACTTTAAAAAGTGTGAAGCGGCAGAAAAAGTACTTGCGCAGGTAAGTAAATTAAGGTCCCGTATTTTCTTATTTCTCTACATTAGTGAGGACATGAATTCCCGCTTAGATAAATTAATTGACAGTTTCAAAACCAACAAGTCATATATGCAGCTTTTTCTTACTGGTGAAATCAAGACGAAGTGGATTGCAATGCTCAGAATTTGCCTAAGTAAATGAAAACTGACACTGTAGTTAGTAGCTTCATCACTTCCGTTTGATAAAGCTCATGAATAGGGGCCTAGGATACTTCAGGTGACCGAAATATGATTGGGCCGCTCTGTAGCGGGATTGTAAGAAGTGTGTGCCGTCACAGACTTGAACTCAAGCTATCCAAACCTAGGAAGAAACTGAATACTCATTATTCAACTCCCATGAAAGTAACTTCAGCGCAGCCCCAAAGTTTTTTACTTCGTAGTCCAACGTCAGGAAACCATGAATATTCTCAAGTCTGTCCAGAATATCAGGTGCAAACTTTCTATCAGCCATGGCATATTAGGCGTGCCTATCCTGCGTCCTACGAAGAACTTGCCCTCTGATATCCTGCTGTAAGTCTATCTCTCCTCCGGTTCCACGAACTCGGTAACGCTTCTGGCGGCGCAGATGATGGTATTCTCATGCGGATGGTCACCTACCATGGTCAGCATCAAATTATTGGCGGAAAAAATTGCGCCGGCTCACCCTCCTGGTCAATAAAAATCTATCATCACTAAATAAAACACGTAGTAACCGAGTGTACAACTCTACTGAACCTGCCTGTATACTGACATTTGCCACCCCATGACTGTCAAACTCAAATGATGGCCATAAGGAACACCCCAACCCAGCGATGTCAGGTATCGAACCCTTTCTTCAGCCTAACTACAACCCTTTATTCTGCTTGCCTTACTCACCCTCCATTCGAAACAAGCCGAATCATTTGAAATCTTTGGCCCTATTGATCAAGCCTTACTGTATTATAATCAGTGGAGCGTATTCGGCCCCAAACACCGCAAAACCTGATCCTCACTGTAGATAAGCGCTTAGCATATTGTAATAACCGTGATGCTGACGCTGTTTATGTCGGCCGGCGTTTTCAATCAGCTGCTTGCCACTTCTCTTAAAAAGAAACCCTGTAACAAACCTGACACTCTGAATATGTTGAAAGTGGGCAACAAGATTGTTGCAAACCCCACAGACATATGTGGGATACCAAGCGAAACGTTTAGCCTTTTTTCCACTAATTGTAACCTCAGCCTTGCTACACCCAGTGACACTGGAGCACATGAAATCTCGGAAGTTGAGTTTAACCTGAGCGATGTACGTGATGCAATAAGCTCGCTGAAACCCTCTCTTAGTGGGAGAGCAGATGGGATACCTGGGATTTTCATTAAAAATGGCAGCGCGGACTTCCCCATACTGCCAGCAAAAATATTCAGCCTGTCCTTAAACCGTAGCGCTTTCCCAGTTTCATGGAAGACTAGTCATATTACTCCGTGCTTTAAGAAAGGCTCTGACTCTGCCCGGAAAATTACCGTCCCATCAACATAACGTCTGTCCTCCAGCGTATAATGGACGAAGCAGTGAAAAACTCCATCTTTTCTCACCTTTCAGATCACAAACTTATGAATTCCTCCAAGCATGGATTTCTGTCTAGGAAATCCTGTGTCACGTGTTACCTAGAATTCTTCGAACACGTAGTTATTAGTAGAGACGATGGAAAGGTGGTTGTCTCGCTTTACTGGGTTGGCTCAGTTCGGCTGAACCGCATACAAGTTTTCAAAACAGGCTCACATTGTTCCCTTTTCAAAAATATCACCAGTGGAATTGTCCAAGGCTCCGTCCTTGGAGACCTTTTTAAAATATATATAAATGATATATGCGCCTGCTTTCAATCAGGGAAAACCTTCCTGTTTGCAGATGACTTGAAAGTTGTGTGCACTCTTCACCCTAACCAATGTAGCAGCATCAATACCACCGTACAAAACTATCTCGACAAGCTACAAGGATGGCGTGACACGTGGCTGCTACCTCTGAATACACAGAAGTCCGGCTTTGTGCTCTACAGTGAACAAAGCGTGCCAACTAATCTTCAACTGAACAACACTGCACTGCAACGGCTAATTAGTACTTCCGACCCTGGAACAAGGTACTCTAGTGACTTTTCCTTTACAGAGCGCGCAACGGCACAGTGCTCCAAATCACGCCGCCTCATCGGCTTCATTCGCCGGAATTTCGGCCTGAATGAAACCAAACTGATTCTATATAAGATGTGCGTGCGACCACTACCAGAATACTCTCCTATCGTACTTAGTTGCTTGTAGTCCAGTGACAATCAGAAAATAGAGAAAACCTAACAACGCTTCACCAGACTTATTTCCCCAGGCAATTTGTGCAAGGGCATATGTCATGCTAATCGGTTAGAGCCTATGTGGTTAAGGCGAATAAAGTTAAGCCTCAGCATTTCCTATGGAGTCCTACACTATGGGGTGACTATTGATGTGGAAATAATAAAGTTCGCTGGCGAAAAACCCCATAATCTTAGAGAACAAGATCACCTAGTTACACTACCACGTGTGTCGAAACAGCTCAAGTCTTCATTTCTCACAACTCGTCAGGCCAACATTTGGAGCAGACTGCTGCATGATGTCCGATGCTGCAAGACCATATCTCAGTTTCAGTCGATCTTGGACCACTACCTCAATGAACTCGGAGTATGCGGGATTCTTAATGTACCCTACATAGACGACACCATGTTCCTTATTGGCCCACCAAATATCTAGAGTCGAATACGCAATAATCCAATGCAACCACCCAAGAAGTTATCGAACGGTGAGTTATTTTTGTTGACTTACACAATATCCTATGCAAATTTGTGGTAATTGTTTTTGATGCTAGTTACTGTTCCTAATCTCAATGCTGCCACAGTTCAGCTACTCTTAACCCCTCCTACAACTAAACATTCCACCCACCCTTCCCTTTTTTCTTTGTAATAAGCTAGGAGTCTTTGTGCTGTACGGCAGTACAAGTCAGTTTTGCGCGATAGATCAAGCTTGACTATTGCATGAGTACAGATGTAATGGTCACGGTCTTAGCCAGCTGACAGTACGCTGGAAATATCGTCGTAACCATCAACTCCACCGAGCATAGCACAAAAATATTAAAAAATAACGTGAAAATATGCGAAGATGGTGATAACTGACCAAGAGGCATGACGGTAGGGAGATAAACTTGAACTACCCTTGCCTGTATGGCGGTATCTTTACGAAACCTACGGCTCCCATACCTTTGACAAAATAATAGCAAAAATAATGGGGTTACTAAAAGGAGTATTCCAGGTCTACAGGCTCAGCTCACTATGAACCATCATATTGTCTCTATAGTCCTGATATGGTAACACTCAACAGGCAACACAATGATCATCCCTCCCTCATGACTATATAAAGAGTAGCTAAAATTGCAGCAAAAGCATGAGTTCTATTTAAATGTTGATAACTTCGATGAACTTTTGCACATAGGTTCTCTACACATAAGCGAATACCTGGTCCAAAACCTTCTATTCTCTCTGTTCCATAATGATATCTTCGGCTTCAGTTTAGTTTCCACTACCTTTGTATGCACCTTCATCTTCTTCACCATAAATTTATCTATAAGCAGTGGGCTTGATACCTCTTCAAGTAACTTTTGCAGTCAGTACAATGAACTCACCTACATGTATCATGGTCGATGTACTTTTGGTGGCCCTGTTCCGAATTTCGTCTGCTGCTCACTTTTGTTATTCATTTTTCAGGTTTATCCAACCAGTCCTTCATCCATATGAAATCCTAGCAGTTTAATTTTTCAGCGCTCACTATGCCACCTAGACCTTATGACGAACGCATAAAGCCCAAGGTCACAGCTGTAATACCCGTCCCACCTTCAAGAATATTGGAAGATTCAAACAATAGCCGAAAATTTCCTACTTTCGAACTGAGCTTGCCTCAGTATGATGAACAATTAGGCTGGTATTTATATGTTTCATTCTTTGCTGTCTGCAAAGCATTAACGTTCTCACTCTAAAAGCATTTTTTGTGTACCGGAAAGAAAGGCGTCTATTTATAGCTTCACACTGTACATAACAGTCAGTTCATATCACCAAAATGATCAGACCTGTGAAACTGGCTTGCTTTCATGCAACTTATGTTGCGTGAAATTTATTATCGTTATACCTGTGTTCCCACCGGGTCTGGGCCCCCGGACGACTGAGCGTTGGCGCTTGTTAGAACGTGCATCCACCTTATAACAACTGTTAATATCATTTTCGGGTGGCTGGCGGCTAGGCCCATCGCTGACAAGCACAAAGCTGAATTTTTCAAGTTTCTGTCATCCCTGCCAAATTCTAAGTCAGCTGGTGAAGATTTCAGGCGAAGTTACATGGTGGTCCTTTCGAGTTGTTGACTTTACTGGAATAAGCAACACACTATATCCAATGTTCCAAAACAGTGTGCCACCGTTTGCTATACACGCCAGCAGTGAGTTTTTAGGTTGTACCCTGTTAAATATTTTCACCATACAGATGCACTTCATCGTTGATGAAACATTTGACACTTGATTGTAGTTTTTGACATGAAGTTGTCATGCTCACAATACACGGCGAATCTCCTAGGGTGAAAATACTTCGTTCCACTCGATGACTTAGTAGCGCACCTTCCTGGCACCAAAATACAACTAAGGCTAAAATAAATAGATTAAGTTAACTAAATAAGTCTCTAGCTGGCCTACGGATGCCTTGGATGTTTCACGTTTTGTTTTAACGAGCATGAATCCGGGCAGGAGTTCGCCCCATTTTGCGTCCCTTTTGTGCTGGTCA